GGAGCTTGATGTCAATGGGAGAGAAATTCTCGCTCACAGAGCAAGGTCTCTCCATGCCCAATAGACCATCCCTAGCTGAATTCTGTACATGGAAAGAACGCTCATTTGGACAGACAAATAGACAAATTTATAACTTTGAAGACCGACATGACTTAACTGACCACTCTCCTTGACGAAGGAGCATTCGCAGCAACGATTCCACAAACCAACACAACCTTTTCTACTCCTTGAGCATGATCCTCTCCCTAAAACCCATATTTACAAATAACCTTAGGAATTCTCGCGACAGTGTTACCTTCTATGTGACATGTACCATTCTCTACCCACTTCGCCTTAGCTTTTGGTTAAGACATATGGCCCAGTTCTAAACTCCGCTCTTAGCTGCTAAGCGTCTCATGGATCCCTTCCACCGCCGCTAACCCACGAATTCAACAGAAGAGCCTGAATTCTCTTTCTCATATCTGTCCCACGATCGCCTTCGCTGCTGGGTTAATCCCAGGCTCTATTTCTACGACTAAAGAAACAAACTCTCCACCCAGCACTATTCATCGTCTAGCCCCGTCTTCCTCTTCCGTTCAATAGCCCCATTGGATCATTAACCTGAACTTTTCGTTCGTTCGTTTGCGATTCCCACACACACACACACACATCACACACACACACACAACACTATGCATCAAAATCTCACGACTGGAACAAGTTCACAGATGACCTACACCCCTGTAAAAAAAACTTTTAGACTAGTATAAATTTATAAATTAAGAATACATGTGCGATACTTAAGATACAGTAAGGAATGGATGAATCTCCTATGCATTTTATAAACTAATGTAAGTGAAAATGAATCCAACAGGCTCTCTTAAATATGTCTTAATTTAAACTCTTTTCGGTCATGTATGATACATAGGTGACAGATAGAGCTAGGGGGATATGATAATCGGCATATAAAATTACTGAGAGAAAATCGGACAAGAATGGACAGAGATAGAGAAGTTCAAATGGAGATTGGGCCCCAGCTAAGAAAGGGGTCACAGTTGGTAAGTAGAAACTCAGATGAGTCACAGGGATGTCTAGGAAAGTTCTTTTGACAGATCAATAGAGATTTCAGGAAGTGGAAAAGACTGGAAAGTAAAGCATAGGAAACATAAGAACATAAGAAAGAAGTAACAACTGCAACAGCCTACATGACCCAAGGCGGAGCAGGTCCATGTCCCCCTCCCCGGCTTAGCCAATGACCCACCCAGTCCTTATCACCTTCCTCAAGGAAGGCAACGTTGCACCAGACCCAGCAGCAGCAATCAGTCCAGGTCCAAGCACCAACCCACACCACACCCTCACTCATGTATTTATCTAACCTATTTTTAAACGCTACACAACGTTTTATAGCCTTCAATAACTGTATAGGGAGTTTTGTTCCACCATCCACATCACTATTACCAAACCATGCTTTCCTATAACCCTTTTCCCCCTAAATCTGAATCTTTTTTCAAACTTGAAACCAATTGCTGGCTGCGAGTCCTGTATTGTTGGGAAATTTTCAGCACGCTAATTTACACACCCTTATTTATTCCTGTTTTCCCCATTAATACACCTCGAGCATATCCCACCTAATTCTACGCCTTTCAAGAGATGTGCAGATTCATGGCCCAGTTCATCCTCATAGGGAAGATTTCTGATACATGGGGATCATCTTTGTCATCCTCCTCCTGTATATTTCCTCAGAGCAATTTGATAATCCATCAGTCATACGTCGAGACCAGAACATAGCAGCATATCCTAAATGGAGGCCTAACCAAGGATATATAGAGTTGAAGTAACAACCTGAGAGGACTATCTATTATTATACTTCTAGATATGAAGCCAAGAATTCTTTAGCTTTATTGCGAATACTAATGCACTGTTGTCCATGTTTAGGATTACTGTCTAACCAGGGAACTACTAAACCCTTTTTGCAATCAGTAGTAAAGTTAAAATTTTACATTATGTTTTGTTTATATTGTCGCCATGGTTATTTACCTGTCCACAACATTAGAACCTTGCTTTTGTCTATAATTAAACTGCATCTACACTTCTACTTCCGACCATTGCATAAGTCTAGTTCACACAACCTGAGTGCCTCTATTGTCTCATTAGAGCTGAATAGACGGCACAAATTTTAGTGTCATCGAGCAAATTTTGGCTTATGTCCCTATTATATGTTCACCACATCTATGTCTTTTATGAGTAAATTGTGAACAACAACGGGCCTAGCACTAAACCTCGCTGAGGAACACCGCTTGTGAACGTGAGCCCTCCATACTCATTTCCTCCCCCATTGTATGCATACACTCTGCTTGCCATATATTGTTAGCCATTCCTCTACCCAGGATAAATTTCTACCTCCTCCTAGTTCCGTGTGCCCTAAGTTTCCTCAATAGCTACGGATGTGGAACCTCTTTTCGAAAGCCTTACTGAAGTTCCATATATACAACATCAATTTTTCAATACAATGATCTACCTCCTCAAACACCTTCGTGAAAAATGTTAGATAAATTCGTAAGAGCAGAACGCCCCCTTTGTAAAACCGTTTGAGATTCCATTAATCAATCAATTCCTAACAAGATTGGCTACGAATTGAGCTCTATCTCGGCCAATTAAATTGAGATTCCCATAAATTTTCCCACTATTGATGTTAAGGCTTAATGGTTCTATAGTACAGAAGCCAAGTTCAACCGTCACATGCCTTGAAATAGGTAATACATTTTGTCCTACTACTAAGCAACTTTATTATGGAATATTGATCTTTTAAACATATCCCTGAGTATCTCCGGTTCAAACTACGGTTTTTACCATAATACTGCAGCTGATTTTTTCCCACAAACTCCCATACCTCTATAATCTAACAGTTTAAATTCTCCTAGACACTCATCAATTACCCTCAAAAACGAATTGGCTAATGCAACCACCTCCATCCCCAGAGAGATGAACGCCCCCATCCCTTACATACATATCACGTTTGCCAAAGAATAGAGCGGGTCAGTTATCAGTGAAAGGCATTGCAAGTTCCTTGCAGTACCTGTCTAGACCCAGCAATATATCCCAATTCCCTAGACATCCATTCATTGCCCATTCTCTTTCTAGGCTAGAATGCTACATATGACCTGGACCCTCTAGACCTAACTGCTTCTGTGCTGACTCTGTACTAACCAGTACTCCTGTCCTCCTGCCCTTCCAGTGTCATTACCCCTAACAACTAAGACAGATAATGGGCTTGTTTCCAATTACTGACATAATATTAACCAACTCTGCTAACTATGTCACCAACACCATCTCTGGGAGGCACACTGTCTGACCTTTCTGTCTCTGTTTACAAAAAGCACAGGTCCATATATCTCACCTGAGATATAGTGACGAGGTATGATCGCAGGTGACCACTGACCTGGAGCTTTAAGGAGAGGTAGAATAAAGCTCATGGAGCAAGGATAGTGACCTAACTAGCGACCAGCAAGAAGAGGCGGGACCAGGAGCTAGTGACTACCGACCCCTGCAACCACAATTAGGTTAGTTACAGTATATGAGTGAGTAACACACAAGCACAACATGCGCAATGGGCAATCCTGTGGTGTCATAATAAACCCTAGTGGAATTACTATTGACAAGTTGATGGCAGTAAGGCAAGAGAGGAGAGAGGTGGGTAGACTGCGCTTTCTTGTTTATAAAAATGCTTGGACACAGTCCCACACAAGAGAATTAGTGCAAAATTTGTAGGACCACACCAGGAATAACCAGGAAAGGGCACTGCAATAGATCAGTAGAATACCTACAGGGAAGGCATAAACGAGTACTGGTATGCGACGAGATGTCTCACTTTCACACGGCGCCGCGACGAATGAGCGCCACAGGGGTCGGTCCTAGGACCGGCAGTTTGCTTCTGCTGTATTGTGAATGACATTGATGGAAGGGATAGACAAAGAAGTGTTCCTGTTTGCAGAAGATGTGAACCTAATGGGGAGAATTCAATTGGACGAGGATCAGGCAGGACTACAAAGGGATCTGGGCAGATGCAGGCCTGATCCAGCAACTGGCTCCATGAGTTTACTTCCACCAAATGCAAAGTCATGAAGATCGGGGAAGGGCAAAGAATACTGCATGCAGAGTACAGTCTCGGAGGCCAAAGACTGCGAACCTCACTCAAGGAAAAGGATCTTGGGATGAGCATAATACCAAGCACATCTCCTGAGGCGCACATCAACTGCTGCAGCATATGGGCGACTTGCAAACGTATGAATAGCGTTCCAACACCTCACCAAGGAATCGTTCAGGACTCTGTACACAGTGTACGTTAGGCTCATACTGGAGTATGCAGCACCAGTTTGGAACCACATCTAGTCGAACACTTAAATAAATTAGAGAGAGTGCAAAGGTTTGGAACGAGACTAGTCCAAGAGCTAAGGGGTATGTCCTAAGAGGAGAGGTTAAGGGAAATCGACCTGACGACACCAGGGGACAGGAGAAATAGGGGAGATATGATAACGACATATAAAATACTGAGAGGAAGCGACAAGGTGGGCAGAGATAGGATGTTCCAGAGATGGGACACAACAACAAGGATTACAGTTGGAAGTTGAAGACTCAGATGAGTCACAGGGATGTTAGGAAGTATTCTTCAGTCACAGAGTTGTCAGTAAGTGGAATAGTCTGAAGAGTGATGTAATGGAGACAGGATCCATATGTAACTTTAAGAAGAGGTATGATAAAGCTTAGGGAGCGACCAGTAAAAAGGCGAGGCCTGGAGCTATGAATCGACCCCCGCTACTAAAATTAGGTGAGTGCAATTAGGTAAGTACACACTCACACACGCGCGCGCCAGCGGAGTCGATGGCCGTCCATGACGTAGTGAGAGTATGATGTCAGAAAAATAACATGACGTCATTCACATGGAAGAGGCGTAGTAGTAATAGCAGTGGTGGAGGTGGTGGTGAGGAGAGAGGTCAGATCTGGTACATATATATTAAGGCCAGGACTGGTGTGCAGTCAGTCGAGGACTGGCTTCAGTCTGGTCAATACTACCTTACACAGCAAACTTTAATAAGCTAAGAAATATCTTCAATCCTGTACGTGAAAACTGTGATTTTTGTGTTTTAGTGTGAGTATTGTGAGTGCCATGTTTACATCTAAGAATAATGCTGTAAATTATTACCCCATGCCCACATGTTGGAGGTGGCAGTCACCACGTACCTCACTGTAGGTGGCAGTCACCACGTACCCCACTTGTAGGACGAATTTGCCACATTCCTATTTGTTGGTGATAGCCCTTCTATTTCCCTCTGGTGGGTGTTAGCCACACCATACACCATTTGTGGTTGTTAGCCACACCATACACCACTTGTGGGTGTTAGCCACACCATACACCAATTGTGGGTGATAGCCACACCATACACCACTTGTGGGTGTTAGCCACACCATACACCAATTGTGGGTGATAGCCACACCATACACCACTTGTGGGTGATAGCCACACCATACACCACTTGTGGGTGTTAGCCACACCATACACCAATTGTGGGTGATAGCCACACCATACACCACTTGTGGGTGTTAGCCACACCATACACCAATTGTGGGTGACAGCCACACCATACACCACTTGTGGGTGATAGCCACACCATACACCACTTCTGGGTGTTAGCCACACCATACACCACTTGTGGGTGATAGCCACACCATACGCCACTTGTGGGTGTTAACCACACCATACACCACTTGGGGGTGATAGCCACACCATACACCACTTGTGGGTGATAGCCACACCATACACCACTTGTGGGTGTTAACCACACCATACACCACTTGTGGGTGCTAGCCACACCATACACCACTTGTGGGTGTTATCCACACCATACACCACATGTGGGTGTTAGCCACACCATACACCACTTGTGGGTGTTAGCCACACCATACACCACTTGTGGGAATTAGCCACACCATACACCACTTGAGGGTGTTAGCCACACCATACACCACTTGTGGGTGTTATCCACACCATACACCACTTGTGGGTGTTAGCCACACCATACACCACTTGTGGGTGTTAGCCACACCATACACCACTTGTGGGTGATAGCCACACCATACACCACTTGTGGGTGTTAGCCACACCATACACCACTTGTGGGTGATAGCCACATCATACACCACTTGTGGGTGTTAGCCACACTATACACCACTTGTGGGTGATAGCCACACCATACACCACTTGTGGATGATAGCTACACCATACACCACTTGTGGGTGATAGCCACCTCCATACCTCACAGATGGGTGATAGCCACCTCCATACCCCACAGTTGGGTGATAGCCACCTCCATACCCCACAGTTGGGTGATAGCCACCTCCATACCCCACAGTTGGGTGATAGCCACCTCTATACCTTACAGATAGGTGATAGCCACCTCCATACCCTACAGATAGGTGATAGCCACCTCCATACCCCACAGTTGGATGATAGCCACCTCCATACCCTACAGATAGGTGATAGCCACCTCTATACCCCACAGTTGGGTGATAGCCACCTCCATACCCTACAGTTGGGTGATAGCCACCTCCATACCCTACAGATAGGTGATAGCCACCTCCATACCCCACAGTTGGGTGATAGCCACCTCCATACCCTACAGATAGGTGATAGCCACCTCCATACCCCACAGTTGGGTGATAGCCACCTCCATACCCTACAGATAGGTGATAGCCACCTCTATACCCCACAGTTGGGTGATAGCCACCTCCATACCCTACAGTTGGGTGATAGCCACCTCCATACCCTACAGATAGGTGATAGCCACCTCCATGCCCCACAGTTGGGTGATAGCTACCTCCATACCCTACAGATAGGTGATAGCCACCTCCATACCCCACAGTTGGGTTATAACCACCTCCATACCCCACAGTTGGGTGATAGCCACCTCCATACCCCAAAGATGGGTGATAGCCACCTCCATACCCCACAGTTGGGTGATAGCCACCTCCATACCCCACATTTGGGTGATAGCCACCTCCATACCACAAAGATGGGTGATAGCCACCTCTATACCCTACAGATGGGTGATAGCCACCTCCATACCCCACAAATGGGTGATAGCCACCTCCATACCTCACAGATGGGTGATAGCCACCTCCATACCCCGGAGATGGGTGATAGCCACCTCCATACCCCACAGATGGGTGATAGCCATCTCTATACCTCACCGATGGCTGACAGCCACCTCCATTCCCCACTGTTTGGTGGGGAATGGTGAGTGATAGCTAGACCATACCCCTCTGATGGGTAGTAGACACCTCATAACACTTTGGTGTAGTAGACACCCATAACCCCTCTGGTGGGTGATAGCCACTCTGTAACCCCTCTGGTGGGTGATAGCCACTCTGTAACCCCTCTGGTGGGTGATAGCCACTCTGTAACCCCCTGGAAGGGTAACAATCACCAACAAGATGCGTATAGGATAACAACAGCTGTTGTTATCCTATACCCATCTTGTTGGTGATAGTCACCCTTCCCATTCTGTTCACAACAATGAAAAGTTAACATATGTGGGTAGAAGAGTTTCCTGACTTTAACCAAAACATTAACAGTAGTATTAATGGCTTTACAGATGTCGGATTATTCTCTCATGGTAATGGTTGACAGGTGTCAAGTTATCCTCTCATGTTACTAGACTGTCATGTTACAATTAGGTAATAGACTGACAGTTGTTTACTCTCATTCTGTTTCATGTTCGTAAAATTCCCTTGTTATTGTAATGTGATGAATGGTTTTGAACACCGACAAGTTGATGAATTGAGACACTTATGCAACATATTGGAATCTTTACTGAAGAAACGTTTCGCCACACAGTGGCTTCATCAATCTTATACAAAGCAGGAACGTTTCACCACTGTGTGGGGAAACGTTTCTTCAATAAAGATTCCCATATGTTACATAAGTGTTTTTGTAATGCTGACCGAGTAACAGGTTAAAGTGATTTAGATATTTGAAAGCATTAATAATTTATATACCCCATGAACCAGGACAACAGGTCACACCAATGACTAAAGAAGCAAGTATCGTGTCGCAGCATGGACTGCTGAAGGTAAGGGGAGATATGGTCCTAAAGTTCACGATACTCAGCATCAATACTACTGAAAAAATTTATTTTCGTTTGTCTTTCTTTATCAGAGATTATAATCCTTATTATTTTATTAGAGTAAATCATCTCCAATAACGTGATTTAACATTGGTTGACTATTTACATAAATTTTGTGTTGCCCAGGTGTGTTGTGTCGAGCAAGGCAGTCCCTGTGTTGCAGTTGATCCCCAAAACGCTAGAGGACCAGGAGCTGGAGTCTCTGTATCATGTAAGTCTCCACTGCAATATACTGACCTGAGATACTGACTGTAAACCAGTTCGTTTACCCTGCCAGTGTAGTCAGTGTGAATACAGACGAGAATTATGGAACCAGCTTTAATAAGGACGATGTGTAAAGCTTTATAGAGCTCTACGTAGTGAAACATGACTTGAAACATCATATGATTTATATTTACAGAATGAAACGTGACATAATAAAGTTCTACAGAGTGAAGTATGACGTGATACAGCTCAACAAAAAGGGAACCATGACATGACAAAGTTCTACAGAATGAAACATGACATGATACAGCTCCACATAGTGTGAAACATGATATGATGCAGCTCTACATAGAGTGATACATGATATGATACAGCTCTACACAGAGTGAAACTTATAAAATTCTAAAGATAGAAACATGCCACTATAAAGCTCTGCAAAGTGAAACATCACCTGATACGGTTCTCCACGAAGCGAAACATTTAATGAAAAGTTCTACAGAGTGAAACTTGATATGATAAAGTTCTACGGGGTGAAACATGACATGACTCCACTCTACACATAGTAAACCTAACACGATAAAGTTTTTCAACCATAAAAATACGACGATAAATCTCTACACAATAAAACATGACATGATAAAGCTCTACCCAGAGTGAAATGTATAATAACAATAAAACTTGTTACAGGTGTTACTAGTAAAGAGGTCAGCAGGTGTCAGTGGAAACCCCTGTCCCGGCTTCTCAGGCTTCAGGTGAGACTAAAGTGATGAATACTACATATAATCCCAGTGGGTTTAGCGCTTTCCCACCAATTCAGTAATATGCATTGGTTTGATTCAATTTTTATCAAATACACGTGATTGTTCCGAGTATACTCTGTGTATGTACTGTACATGTACTATTCTGAAGACACTTGTATTGAGATGACTCACAAAATCGTAATAACAAGATTGCGATAAATCCACGGAGCGGGCGGGGACTGAATCCACGGAGCGGGCGGGGACTGAATCCACGGAGCGGGCGGGGACTGAATCCACGGAGCGGGCGGGGACTGGCTACAATAAGATTCGTTCAACTAAGTATATTTGTATACACCATAGAGAAGTTACCATGGACTCCACTACGACCCAGTACGTAGGTCACTCGGCCACCTTACCCACTGACCTGGAGTTTTACCACTCACTTTCCATGGGTTCAGATCCCACCTATTCAGTGGTTTGTTGATATGTTTCGGTCCTGGACCTCGAGTAACTGAGATAATTGGACGGATTTATTCAATAAAAAACTTTTAAGAATAAACTGTTGTGAAGATTACGTTCTAGTGCGATGTATGTGAAAGCAGTTATTTACCTTCTTACTATTCAACCTTCTTACTATTCAACCTTCTTACTACTCAACCTTCTTGCTACTCAACCTTCTTACTACTCAACCTTCTTACTACTCAACCTTCTTACTACTCAACCTTCTTACTACTCAACCTTCTTACTACTCAACCTTCTTACTACTCAACCTTCTTGTTACTCAACCAGTTTATTACTTAACATTCTTACTACTCAACCTTCTTGCTACTCAACCAGTTTATTACTTAACCTTCTTACTGCTCAACCTTCTTACTACTCAACCTTCTTGCTTGTGAAGAAATTTTCACCAGGAGGGGGGTATCAGCCCCCTTCAGCCCCTTTCAGCCCCTTTCAGCCCTGAGGGGCCCAGCCCTCTCAGAATGGGCAAACATCTTGTTCACTGCTACAGCAAGTAATTGATCCCAGATTGCAACAATATGCTGGGACTTAATTGGAACACACAGGAAGATACTTTGAGTCTCAAAAGGATAAACAATAAATCATGCAGTACACTCACTAAAGGTAGTTTACTGTCAGAGGTATCACAATGTTTTGATCCTCTAGGACTCGTCTCGCCAATTACCATAAAAGGTAAAATGCTTATGCAAGTTGCATGGAAGCTCAAAATTGGATGGGATGAGAACTTACTTCTAGAAATGAGTCAAGCATGGGATGAAATATCCAAGGAGTTTAAACAACTTTATCAAATTAAATTTCTCAGACAAATAGGTCAAGAGGGAAACAAGGACACATTACATGTGTTCTGTGATGCGTCAACCAGAGGTTATGGCGCTGTAGCTTACATGAGTAATGCTGAAGGAAGTACACTAATTACTTCAAAGGCCAGGGTAGCACCCTTGAAGGTCAGAACAGTACCACAATTGTAACTGACAGCACTCTATGTAGGTACAAAATTAGCTGTCTATCTCAAAAAAGTACTTGATCATCTCACTATTGAAAAAAAACGTGATCTGGAGTGATAATGAACGTTTCCAGTGGGTTTAAGAAATAATAAGAGTAAGTTGGGCTATGTACAGAACAGAGTAGCAGAAATAAAAGAGATGCAGAGAGATTATCTCTTTCTCCACGTCTCTACCCAAGAGAACCAGCGACATGTTGTCACGTGGCGTCCCACTCAAGAAATTTTTGGATAAAAAATTATGGCTCGACGGACCGAACTGGCCTCCCAATGAAAATAACAGCCTCAGCAAAAAGCCACATTTTGCCAGAAGAAACAGTCTGCTTGAATACAGCAAAATAAGTTGTGTAAATACTGCAGACATAAGAGAAAGAGTCATTGATGATCTAAATACTCTTTTTTGGTAAACTCTTAAGAGTTACAGCTCTTGTCTTTAAATTCATTAAAGGAATAAAACCTGATTATGAATATCATGAACCCATTAAATACTGGGTGAAACTAATACAGAAAAATGTTTTCTCTACAGAATATAAATTTCTGGAAACACAAACAAATCCCAAAGAAACCTGTCATGATTAATTCTTTAGGACTTTATCTCGACCAGGAAAGAAAAAGATGTCGAGGAAAATTAAATTTTTCTTCATACCTAAAGAACCCAAACATCCAATATTGACCCAAGAATTTGGCTAAAAAAAACTGATTGTTCAAAACCCCCACAGTAACGTTTTACATGGGGGGGTAGCACCACTTTGTCTATCGAAAATCCACGGGTACCAAGGGCACAAAGTGGAAAAAAAATAAAAACTGTATACTTGTCGTCACTACGATATCAGTAGTCATTCCGCCCCCTCCATACCCCTCTGAAAAGAGTTTCATTCCCCATTTTGGGGTGACGGTGTAAAATTACACGGGACCAAAAAATTTTAAACCCAAAGCAGTTGCAAAGTTCCCTCAAGGTGTAATCTGTTTGTTCACTTTGCTTCAACTAGAGCAGAACATCAAAAAGTAGCCACTGAATGTTCTGAAAACCTTTATAAAATTTATTCAAAAGTTGCGCCAAAGGGATGTCCCAAGAGATTTCAGACAACAACAAACTTTGTTGGGGTGTGCTTATATAAGCAAGATCTTTGATCAACCAGAAGTACAACAGATGCGAACAACGCGTTGTCTTTTGGAATACATCCCCCAAAAATCTCCATGCAGGGCGAATTTTATGAAAAAAGATCGGGGATTGTAAAACGTTTAAGGGAAAACTCTTCTGTCAGAGAATAACTTTGAAGAATTCGACAGTTTTGCTGAAATAAAAAAAAGAGTGAACAACAACCTCTAACTAAAGTTTTCCCGGCTGGTCAATTTTTGAAAGGTTTAAATCCACTCATTTATCCATGGAGAAGGCCGAACCTGTTCCTCCGTGAAAAAAAAGAAACATGAGGGCCTATTTTTTCGAACCGAGCAACTCGACGTAAATTCAACACCTTAAAAAGTGATTAATTTTTGGGGGGAAAAAAATTTTTGGGGAGTTTTCTCACCCATTGAGAAACACTTCATGGGGCGGTTTCCTGAAAATCATAATCCTTAAGAATGGGGACAGTGATTATGACAATGAGGTCAAAGTCCCAATGGCCACTTTTAAAAAGCGCCAATTCCCGATGCAAAAGGAACACAGGGGCAGTTGATGTTTTAAGCAAAAGGGGTTTTGGGAAAACAACAATAAATAAACATGCTTTAAAATTACACGTGGGGAAAACAAAACTGAATTTTCCAGAAACCCCACAAATAAAGCGTTCAGAAAAAACAAAGCAAGTTGACGAGTGAAAATCAAAAAATGTAATGATGAATAGTTCACCTGCACGAACCTCCGCCCCCCCCAGGTGGAAAATTTGTCCAGATCCCAGAGTGTAGTGCAGTGGTTTCCCCAAAATGGGGTAAATTCCCCCTGGGGGTAATTTTTCCATTTTTGGGGGTAATGAAGGGGGGACAGAAAAAAAGTTATGAATTCTGAAAATCAAGAAAACAATGCGGTACCCGGTATGAGGATTATTGTTAACTTTGTCTTAGTATATAAAGTTGTAAAGTAAACCTATTATAAGTAAGTAATAAAGTTAAACCAAATAACAATAAACATCAAAAACTAATATACAGTATTAGAAAAGAAGAAATATATAGTTAAGTGTGTGGAAACCCAAAAGTATTTTGACAAGTATGCTTCAGGACAAAAGTCACTCAGTAGCCCAGATCGACCTGTCCAGTACGTGTCACTCACTTCCTGAGGCTGCCTCTATTTCACACTGTCAGTTTATCTGTGAGCATCAGCCGAGGTAGACATAAGCTGGTATGTATGTGTACTGCCCTGTGCAGTATATAGTTAGTATTTACCCACTGTTACTGTGAATTTGTAGCTATTATTAATTTTATATATAATGTATGTGTGGTTCTTACGTTTTCAATGGTTTTGCTAGGATTAGCAGAGTATGCGAGGCTGTATACGTTCACGTTTAGCCATATATATCAATAATAACAACATTTTGTGAAAGGGGTAACATGCTTTATGTGGCATGTTAACTTGGGTAACAAGCTGAAAAAGTTTGGGAACCACTGGTGTAGTGCGACATTCTTCAAGGAACACTATTTTTCAATCAACTCAACGGATATCCAGGCGTAACTACGGGTCAGATACATATACCCAGGTAAGTGTTCTAACTCGTGATGTACTACTATTGACTGCGCAGTTGAGTCGAGGTTATGAGTTAGTCACATATCATAAACCACGGTGATAAGCGGACTTTTAAGTCCACACAAGTCCGTACGTCAGTCATCAGTGGATGAAATATGCTGACATAACACCTCCTAGGGGCAATTTATAATCTTACAAAATATACTTTATTTCTGCCCGTTGTGAAGTGATGGACAGCTTCTCAAGACCTCGTCTGCAGGGGCAGCTGTGCCGGCGATGAGCTGTTTTTCTAAGCTAAGTTTTCCCTATCTTTAAACTAAGCTGGTAAACCATTTCTCAACATTGCTACTCAACCAGTTTATTACTTAACCTTCTTACTGCTCAACGTTCTTACTACTCAACGTTCTTACTACTCAACGTTCTTACTACTCAACTTTCTTACTTCTCAACCTCTTGCTACTCAACCAGTTTATTACTTAACCTTCTTACTGCTCAACCTTCTTACTACTCAACCTTCTTGCTACTCAACCAGTTTATTACTTAACCTTCTTACTGCTCAACCTTCTTACTACTCAACCTTCTTGCTACTCAACTTTCTTACTACTCAACCTTCTTGCTACTCAACCAGTTTATTACTTAACCTTCTTTCTGCTCAACCTTCTTACTACTCAACCTTCTTACTACTCAACCTTCTTACTACTCAACCTTTTTGCTACTTAACCTGTTTATTACTTAACCTTCTTACTGCTCAACCTTCTTACTACTTAACCTTTTAACTACTCAACCTTTTTGCTACTCAACCAGCTTATTACTCAACCTTTTTACTACTCAACCTTCTTGCTACTCAACCAGCTTATAACTCAACCTTCTTACTACTCAGCCTTCTTGCTACTCAACCAGTTTATTACTCAATCTTCTTACTACTCAACATTTTTGCTACTCATTCAAGGACTCAGAATAAAACTATTGTGAATCATTGTATCACCACTATTCATCAGCTGTTTGTTCCCGTGTAACATTTATCAGCAGTTTTTCCAGTGGCGCCATTCTTCTACTGTTTGTCCACTAGCATCATTCATCTTCTGTTTGTCCACTGCAACATTCATTTACTATTTGTCCACCAGTAGCATTTACCTACTGTTTGCCCCCTAGCTACATTCATCTCATGTTTGTCCACTAACTCCACTCATCTCCTATTTGTCCGCTAGCATCATTCATCTACTGTTTATCCCCCTAGCATCATTCATCTACTGTTTATCCCCCTAGCATCATTCATCATATTGCATATGTGTCTTACCTAACAACCTGTCGGTATTGTATACCATTTTGATGTTCATCTTGTCAGACACTGCAACACGTGGCATCTTGGTACAGAAAACACCTTGGACAAGCTTTTCAAGTGAGAAGGGTTGGATCTGAGAGGGACATGACCTCTCAGTTGCCTCTCACTACTACTACTACTACTACTACTACTACTACTACTACTACTACTACTACTACTACTACTACTACCCTGCACCTCTCCTTCCGACAGTATTTAAGTCTCCGCACTGTCGCTTGATCTTCAGATAGTTCCTGACTATGGAACTGAACTTCTCCAGGCCGAGGGACTGACAACCTCAAATTCTACGACTTTAAGGGTGATGGACTGATTACATCGTCTTCACATCTCTACTGTTCCTGCCTACTTTCTGTATTAGACTGAAGAAGCCTACTGTGTAGGCGAAACGTTTCGGAATAAAGTTGTCTAACTGTTGCATATGTGTCTTACCTAACAACCTGTCGGTATTGTATACCATTTTGATGTTCATCATTCATCTACTGTTTATCCCATTGCATCATTCATCTGGTACATATCATTGTCGCCAAACATTCATTGTCACTTGGTACCATTCACTTACACTAAATCCTCTAGTACCATTAACCAATGTGTCAATTCATCGACTACTTATACACCACAAAGTATATCTTTCATGTTATATACACCGAGAACTGCATATCACCGACTACACGCAAAAATTTAGATCTCCGAGTATATACACTGAGGTGTTATTCTCTCGGTATATTGAACATAGTTTACATTGATCCTCGTTTAAGGGATTTTAACAATCTTGACTGGTAGTGTACAAGTTAAATTCATTAATGATCATCGTGTAACCGATGGACTTGAAATCTAATAATTTTTTTTGCTTTATTAAAACCAATTAGTAAAGTAAAGCAACAGTCAAGTCTATAATTAATTTGAAAAAATATTGTGCAAACACATAAACCCTGAGAATTGTTTTTAAACTATTACCCAAATCTTCCTCTTCATCATCTTCTTCATCGTCTTCAATTTCTTCCATTTCTTCTATTTCTTCTTCTTCTTCTTTTCTTCTTCTTCTTCTTCTTCTTCTTCTTCTTCTTCTTCTTCTTCTTCTTCTTCTTCTTCTTCTTCTTCTTCTTCTTCTTCTTCTCTTTCTTCTTCTTCTTTTCTTCTTCTTTTCTTTCTTCTTCTTCTTCTTCTCTTTTCTTCTTCTTCTTCTTCTTCTTCTTCTTCTTCTTCTTCTTCTTCTTTTCTTCTTCCTTCTTCTTCTTCATCATCTTCTTCTTCTTCTTTCTTCTTTCTTCTTCTTCTTCTTTTCTTCTTCTTCTTCTTCTTCTTCTTCTTTTCTTCTTCTCTTCATCTTCTTCTTCTTCTTTTCTTCTTCTTCTTCTTCTTCTTCTTCTTCTTTTTCTTCTTCTTCTTCTTCCTTCTTCTTCTTCTTCTTCTTCCTTCTTCTTCTTCTTTATTTTTCTTTTCTTCTTCTTCTTCTTCTTCTTCTTCTTCTTCTTTTTTCATCTTCTTCTTCTTCTTTCTTCTTCTTCTTCTTCTTCTTCTTCTTCTTCTTCTTCTTCTTCTTCTTCTTTTTTCTTCTTCTTCTTCTTTCTTCTCTTCTTCTTCTTCTTCTTCTTCTTCTTCTTCTTCTTCTTCTTCTTCTTCTTCTTCTTCTTCTTCTTTCTTCTTCTCTTCTTCTTCTTCTTCCTTCTTTCTTCTTCTTCTTCTTCTCTTCTTCTTTTTTCTTCTTCTTCTTCTTTTCCTTTCTTCTTCTTCTTCTTCATTTTTCTACTCTTCTTCTTCTTCTCTTCTTCTTCTTTTCTTCTTCATTTCTTCTTCTTCTTCTTCTTCTATCTTCTTCTTCTTCTTTCTTCTTCTTCTTTTCTTCCTTATCATTCTTCTTCTTATCCTCTTCATCTTCTCCCTTTTTCTTCTTCCTTCTCTTTCATCTTCTTCTTTTCTTCTTCTTCTTCCTCATCATCTTCTTTTTCTACTTCATTTTTCTTCTTCTTCTTCATCTTCTTCTTCTTCTTCTTCTTCTTCTATCTTCTTCTTCTCTTCTTCTTCTTCATTCACTCTTTTACTTCTTCTTCTTCTTCTTCTTCCTTTTCTTCCTTCTTCTTTTTCTTTTTTTCTTCTTCTTCTTCTTCTTCTTCTTTTCTTCTTTCCCTTCTTCTTTTCTCTTCTTCTTCTTACTTCTCTTCTTCTTCTTCTTTTTCTCTTTCTTCTTCTTCTTCTTATCTTTCTTCTTCTTCTTCTTCTCTTCTTCTTCTTCTTTCTTCTTCTCTTTTTCTTCTTCTTCTTCCCCATATTAAGGGTTTTTAAAATTTTATTTAAATATTTATTATACTTTTTTATACTTATTTTTTTTTTAATTTTTTTTATTTTATTATTTTCTTCTCATTTTTTCTTTTTCTTCCCTTTTTTTTTTCTTTTTTTTTTTTTTTTCTACTTATTTGTTCATTTCTTTCCTTATTTTTTCTTTCTTTCTTTCTTCTTCTTTCTTATCTATTTTATTCTCTTTTCTTTCTTTTTTCTTTCTTTTCATTCTTCATTTTTCTATCTTTTCTTTCTTTTCTGTTCATTCTTGTTCTTTCTTTCTTTTCTGTGTCTTTTCCCTTATTATTATTATTTTATTATATTATATTATTATTATTATCATTTATTACTAGTTTAATTCATCTATTTTATTTTTATAAATTTTTTTATATTGTTATTATTATTATTAAATTTTTTTTTTTAATTTTCATGTATTTGTCTTGATTAATTTTTCATTAAAAGTATATGTTTAAGGTAAAGGACATTGTTCATGTGATCATGTGATCATGTGTTTTGTGATCATGTGATCATGTGATCATGTGATCATGTGATCATGTGATCATGTGATCATGTGATCATGTGACCCTGTGATCATGTGATCATGTGATCATGTGTTCATTTGTTCATGTGATCATGTGTTCATGTGATCATGTGTTCATGTGATCATGTGTTCATGTGATCATGTGATCATGTGTTCATGTGATCATGTGATCATGTGTTCATGTGTTCATGTGTTCATGTGATCATGTGATCATGTGTTCATGTGATCATGTGAATCATGTGTTCATGTGATCATGTGTTCAATGTGATCAGTGTTCTTTGTGATCATGTTTTCATGTGATCATGTGTTCATGTGATCATGTGTTCATGTGATCATGTGATAAATGTTTTTAATGGGATCATGTGATCATGTGTTCATGTGATCATGTGTTCATGTGATCATGTGTTCATGTGATCATGTGATCATGTGTTAATGGGATCATGTGATCATGTGTTCATGTGATCATGTGATCATGTGTTCATGTGATCATGTGTTCATGTGATCATGTGATCATGTGATCATGTGTTCATGTGATCATGTGTTCATGTGATCATGTGAATCATGTGTTCATGTAAATCATGTGATCATGTGATCAGGGTGATCATGTGATCATGTGTTCATGTGATCATGTGATAAATGTGATCATGTGATCTTTGTGTTTCATGTGATCATGTGATCATGTGATCATGTGTTCATGTGTTCATGTGATCATGTGATCATGTGATCATGTGTTAATGTGATCATGTGATCATGTGATCATGTGATCATTGTATCGATCATTCACTCTTAACATTTCACAGTATTTCTATTCTTTACCCATTAATTCATGAAACACTGAATGCAGACACTCATACGTAATTAGTAAGAGCCAAGTAAGCTTAGATTTGCTCATTCATTTGTTACATATTCTTCATTCTTAAAAAACTCTTACCTGCCCAGTCACCCATTACGTACTATTAACCCCCATTACACATTACACAGATGTCCTCACCTGGACGTGCCAGCTCTGTGCCGAGGATTCCACATTGGTTGTCCTGACACAGAGTTTATCAACGTTCGTATATAAACATATCAGAGGAAGACGCCCATTAAGATAAACTCACATGATGGTTAGGAAAAGAACATGACAATATAAGAAGAAAGTGACAGATGTGAGGAAGGTGACACACGCAAAGAAAGTGACATGTGAGGGAGGTGACACATGTGAGAAAGATGAAACATGTGAGAAAGGTGACACATTCAAGAAGGTGACAGATGTGAGGAAGGTGACAGATGTGAGGAAGGCGACAGATGTGAGGAAGGTGACAGATGTGAGGAAGGTGACAGATTTTGAGGAAGGCGGACGGATGTGAGGAAGGTGACAGATGTGAGGAAGGTGACAGATGTGAGGAAGGTGACAGATGTGAGGAAGGTGACAGATGTGAGGAAGGTGACAGATGTGAGGAAGGTGACAGATGTGAGGAAGGTGACAGATGTGAGGAAGGTGACAGATGTGAGGAAGGTTACAAACCAACATAGCTCGTCTTCCGTTATACTTCTCTACTTCACAAGGCTATCATGATTCTGCAATATTTATAAAAACTGTTCAGTGCAATCTATGTTTTGGGTGTGTGTACCCACCTAATTGTGGCTGCAGGGGTCGACTCATAGCTCCTGGCCCCGTGTGTGTGTGTGTGTGTGTGTGTGTGTGTGTGTATTTGTGTGTGTGTGTGTGTGTGTGTGTGTGTGAGTGTTGTGTGTACTCGCCTAATTGTACCCCATAATTGTGTGCAGGGGTCGATTCATAGCTCTGGCCCCGTGTGTGTGTTGTGTGTGGTGGTGGTGTGTGTGTATTTGTGTGTGTGTGTGTGTGTGTGTGTGTGTGTGTGTGTGTGTGTGTGTGTGTGTACTCGCCTAATTGTACTCACCTAATTGTGGCTGCAGGGGTCGATTCATAGCTCCTGGCCCCGTGTGTGTGCGTGTGTGTGTGTACTCGCCTAATTGTACTCACCTAATTGTGGTTGCAGGGGACAAGACTCAGCTCCTGGCACCGCCTCTTCACCGAGTGCTACTAGGTCCTCTCTATCCCTGCTCCATGAGCTTCATCATACCTCATCTTAAAGCTATGCATTGCTCCTGCCTCCACTACCTCGCTTGCTAGGCTATTCCACTTCCTGACTACTCTTTGACTGAAGAAATACTTTCTAACATCCTTTTAACTCATATGGGTCTTCAACTTCCAATTGTGACCCCTTATTGTGTCCCCTCTCTCTGGAACATCCTGCCTCTGTCCACCTTGTCTATTCCACGCAGTATTTTGTATGTCGTTATCATGTCTCCCCTAACCCTCCTGTCCTACAGTGTGGTCAGACCGATTTCCCTTAACCTTTCTTCGTAGGACATTCCCCACTCCCCTTAGCTCTGGAACTAACCTTGTCGCAAACCTTTGCACTTTCTCTAATTTCTTGACGTGCTTGATCAATAAACTCTTGACGTGCTTGATCATATGCTGCAACAGTTATCTGGTTGATGTGTGCTTCCGGAGACGTACTCGGTGTTATACTAACCCCAAGATCTTTCTGCTTGAGCGAGGTTTGCAGTCTTTGGCCACCTAGCCTATACTCTGTCTGCGGTCTTTTTTGCCCTTCCCAGATCTTCATTACTTTGCATTTGGCGGGGTTAAATTCGAAAAGCCTGTTTCTGGACCAGATATCCAGCCTGTAAAGGTCTCTTTGAGGTCCTGCCTGATCCTCATCTGATTTAATTCTTTTTATTAACTTCACATCATCTGCGAACAGGGACACTTGTGTGTGTGTGTGTGTGTGTGTGAGTGTGTGTGTGTGTGTGTGTGTGTGTGTGTGTGTGTGGCACTCACCTAGTTGCAGGGACGAATCCTAGCTCCTGGCCCCGCCTCTTCACTGGTCGCTACTAGGCCAATCTCCCTGAACCGTGAACTTTATCATACCTCTACTTTAAGCTATATATGAATCCTGCCTCCACTACATTGCTTCCCAAACTATTCCACTTCCTGACTTCTCTGTGGCTGAAGAAATGTTTCCTAACATCCCTGTGATTCATCTGTGTCTTCAACTTCCAACTGTGTCCCCTTGTTGCTGTGTCCCATCTCTGGAACATCCTGTCTTTGTCCACCTTGTCAATTCCTCTCAGTATTTTGTATGTCGTTATTATGTCCCCCCTATCTCTC